AAGGCTCTATCACACGAAGGGTCTCGAAGCTGAGGTTCAAAGCACAGACTCTCCAAAATTTGGCCAAGTCCTATGCTACACGCCGAAGGCAACACGAAGGTCTGGGACAAGCTAAACCTATATCCACCACATACCGGAGGCTTCATGCCGAGGGTGGACTATTACCAAACCCAGTCAATAATAAAGAAATTTCTAAGTCCACATATTACCAGAATTCGGAGGACACTCATCAAACCGGAGGCTGCACACAAGATCTGTTGGAGACAAATCTCAGAATTTCACTAAATCCATAATCTTGAACCCCTCGACAACCATATACACACGGGGGCTCAAGCAATTCTCACACTCGAAGGTTCACTACAGCATCTAGTACAACTTTATGGAAATTTGGCTAAGGTCACAACCCGGAACCCTCCGGAGAGCTCAGCTACCACCAACAGGCTTAGTGCCGAAGGCACCCTAAGCTACCCAACAAGAACCTGAACTTACAATAAAGGTCTAAGGTTTCATCACCGCCGGGGCCTAGGGTGAAATTAGCTCGGAATATTTCCTAAGTTTAATTCTTTCTAACCCTCGGCCCTACCCCCTACAAACCGGAGGCACTCCCCATAGTTCAATACCGAAGGCATACAATGGAAAAGAGGGCTCCTGATTGGGTTCTCACTTAGAAAATTTTCTAAGTCCACAACGACAAGCCCCCGGCTGTCCCACAATGCAACTGAGGGCTCATAACTGGGTTCTTTACTTAGAAGATTTTCTAAGTCCACAACAAACGACCCCCCGGCGATTCCACACTATAATCGGGGGCCCGTCGCCGAGTTTTACTTTGAAAATCTTCTAAATCCATAAACCTGTGGCCTCCGGGAAATCAGGCATTCATTCAAGAAAAGGAAAGCATGCATGAAAAAAACGGGGGCATACATTCAATTCAGAGATGCAAAGGCTCATACTACTCATTTAAAAACCCGAGGGCACAATCATTCATCAGCGAGAACATTTCAAACTAAAGAGATGTTTGGTTTACATTACATGGCAGAAGCCGGAAGCTACAAGCTATTACAAAATGATACATCAAGAAATTCCTAAGTCTGAGTTCCTTGGGCCGCATCAACTTTCGGCTCGGAGGTAGCGCCATCCCCAACCTCCTCCTCGGCATCCTCGGCTTCTGCCAGCAGCTCCGAATCTTCGAGATCCGGTCTCTCTTTGCCCAGGGGAAGTGGCACTCTAACATCTGGCTGAAGGAGGGGGAGACCATACGCCGCGGGGTTGAAATCCTTTGGCTCTATCTTCAAATGCCGGGCCAGCCTCCGGTATACTAAGCGTTGAGTGAAGAACTCCCCGCCATCGTAGTAATCCTTGCCTTTCCGGGCCAGCCACATAGCCCCGGGGCCTTGGGCCCAAGCATCCACCCTCTTCTCCATCACTGAGGCCACCCACCCCTCATGATCAGACGCCACCCATCCCTCGGCAAGAAAGGAGTCAATGGCCTTTTTCCGGGCATCAGCCACCGCTTCGGCCATAGCGATGTTCGCGGCCTCGACGGCTGCCTTGGCTGCAGCAGCAGCGACCTCCTCGGCTTGGGCCTTGGCAATCCTTAGTGCCTCCACCCTTCGGGCCTGCTCACAAACACCGAGGGCAGCCTGTAAACGAATAAGGAGATTTTCCTGGGAATTAGTACACAACATCAAGTCAAGAGGTAACCAAAGGAATGGCCGAAGGAAAACTTACCATGGTGCTGTAATTCGCTATCTTATAATCGAGAACGTCGTCGTCCAATCGGGACAGCACGGCCCTATCCTTGGAAGACATCACCCCCCTCATAAACTCAACAGGGTTGAGGGTGGAGTGCATCACCGCGGTTCCCTTCTTGATCGGGAAATGGATTACCTCCTTCTCCCGGAGGTCCTCGTCAATATGGCCCGGAGGGGAGCGAGGGGGAGTGATCGAGGCCTGCTCATCTACGATCACCACGGGGGCATCTTTCTTCCCAGGAGCCCCCTTCCTATGCTTCTTAACTTCCAGGGGAGCTACACCTTTTCCGGAGTTTTTTCTCTTAAGCTCCTCCCCCTTGGAGCCCCCGGCATCGGTGCCGGCAACAGCAACATTGGAAGGACCCTCCCCCTCCGGGACTAGAGTGGCTCCCTCCTTCTGGAAGAATTCATCGACGGGTTTCTGAACACCCACCTCCTTCTTCTTCTTCTCTTCCATGGCCATTTGTTTCTTCAGCTTGGCGAAGGCTTTGGCATCCATATCTGGTCCTGCAAGAGAAGAAAGAAAACAAGCATTAGACTACAACAGCAATAACGAGAGAAAAGAAAAGAAAATTCCTCTAAGTACTAAATACGGGAGCCTTCGGCGAACACCTCCAACACTCTGGTACACCCGATCAATGACAGGGAGCGTCTCATTCTTCTCCCCCGGCAGACGGAACCGACGGAATCCCAGTTTGTTTATCTCCTCCGAGAGGGTAGCTGCCTTGATAGATATTTGTTTGTCAGACCCTTCCGGTTTCGCTGCCAGCTTTTTCCCATTCTTATCAAGGGCAGCATTTCGGACTTTCAAATGCCTGCGGAAATGATGGCGAAGGGGCTCCGGGAAGGGATTGATGGCCATACGAAGGTCATATCTAATAATAATAATAATAATAATAATAATAATAATAATAATAATAAATTAATAATAATAACGTGAAAACATATAATGTGGACGGATTTTGCGAAAAAAGTTTATTTTGTTTATAGATTAGTAATAGTAAGTATTGATTAATTTTTTTAAAAAAGTTTAAAATATAGATTCTACACAATGTTAAGTTATAATTTCATCTGTGTACTGTATATTAATAATATATTTTTTATTCTGATTATGATTAACATGTAATACTTCGTAGAAGAACATAATAACTAAATATAAAATATTAAAATAAATATTATGAATTAAATTAATTTAAGTTATATTATTTGAAATCGTTATTATTCTATGCTTCATTATTATTTGAAATCGTTATTTTATTTGTATTTTTTATTTATAGATTTATAATAGTAATAATGTAATAACAAAACATCATTATTGTTTATAACTAATAGTTCCGTAAAGTATTTTCCTTAATTTCATGACAACAACGAACATAGAGGAAGACATGTGATGAGTTAGTAATAAACATGAATATGATGAAATAAAGGAAAACAGAAATTGATTAAAACAAATGATTGAGTTATTAGCAACATTCCGAAAACTATTGTGTAATAAAAATCAAAAACAAAAAACATTAACATCCAAGGCTATGATAATTTTAATTCTTCTCAATCTTTATGTTTGTTTTCAACACTTTAGAACTTGATTTATCTGCCTCGTCCGCGTCTTCTTCAGATGGTCTTTTTTTTTGTTTGGTTCGAGTTGTCTAAATCTTGGGTTAAATTTATGCAAGCTCCTCCACTGCTTCCCATTTCACTATTTTCGATAACTTCTGAAAATTTAGGTGTCAAATCCTGAATGAACATAGAAAAAATACACATTAAGATCTTATTAAAAAATATGTGTAAATAATGCAATAGGTGTTTTAAAAAATAAACCGTGTAGTGTTCAAGTAAATTAAAGAAGTACATGCAGCCCATATTTGAAATAAACAATTGGTTACCTGGCGAATGGGATTGAGAACAATCTCATTTGATGGATCTAAATCACCATAACCTCCCTGCTTAGTAATAATTTAATAAGATGAGCAAGTACTCATTAAGTGTATGTTAGTACACTAAACATAACCAATACTAATACTGTGAAATCTATTACCTTTATAGTGATTGATTCTTTGAACTTGTTAATGATTTCTGCATTAGAGCATAGTTTGTTAACTACATATGATGGTTCAAATCGAGGGTTAACATTTTTCTTGACTTCAATCTTGAATACGAATGATTTTCCTACTAAGTCCATAATATCAGGAGGAGTCGATAGCGGGCCAGTAACCTGTTGTAAATGAAGTCATATCATATTAAAAAGCTATGGTATCAAATACATTTATGAAGTTAATATAGAAATAAAAATATAAATTATACACAATATAGACATACACAATATAAATTATACACAATATAGACATACACTAATCCTTATTAGGATTGGTGTTAAAAGAAATAAATTACCTTATAAGCCAGATGAAATCAACATGCTTAGATATACACATTTGTAATATTTGTCAGATACAAATGGGTTTTGTGATGTCTATAAAGTATTACACACTTGTAAATCTATATAAGGCTATTAAATTTGCGTGTTGACTATATTTGTATATTATCTCTTATTGTTCTTCCATAATTTAAAGTGGCAACTATCAACTACAAAAAGTCCAGTTTTAATCATTTCACACTCAAAGATATCCTATTAGCTGTTCTCAGATTATACATCCATAATAGAAGAAAATAGAAAACCAACACGATATAATGTATCATGTTATTCTATCATATGATCAGAAGATCTAAGTTCATTTCAAACTTCAAGAATACAACAATTTGAAATATACTAAATAACTAACATACTTATTTTGTTATACAAACTGTGAGCTTAGTTTCAGAAGCTTTGTTGAAATAATAAGTTACTAATTATACAAATTATAATACATTAAGTTTGCATTGAAATAACAGTTGAAATAACACTGAAGTACTGAAATAAGTATATGAAAGCAATAACCTTATCTCTTGATTCTATCATGGCAGAACATGACTTATTTAGTATAGAAGTAGCAGTCCGGTCAAAAAGCACAAACGTGGCAGAATCTGTGTCATCCATTACACGAAGTTTGATCCGATACCTATAACAATTTTTTACACATAAAATATCATATACATGTCTCATTTACACTTAGAATCTTAACAATAATATAACAATTGATTTTATTAGATATACTTATTTATGGAAAGTAATGGTCAGTACCTCGGGGTAACACTCAAAATATGTTTGTTGCAATTTTCGCAGAAATACATTTGTGAATCAGGATAAACAGCTTTCTCACATGAACATGCACTGTACCACCAACTGTCCCCATCGATAACAGCAGTAATCGTCCCGATCACAACACAAAATATTTTCTTTGAGAAGACAAAACAACGATGAATATTAATAGTCACATCAGTCATCTCCAGAGTCACACAATATTTGATTAAAAAATTAAATAAATAGATAAGTAATTACTTAAAGACATATTTTGAAGTATTAAAACCTTTAATCAATATTGAAAAGCTACATGTCAATGTACCTCCGTTGTGTCTTTTAGATCCACAATGGTTTTTCTTGGAGTTTTATTGAGAAATTCATCCTCCAAACTCATTGATCTTGAGGTGTACAACTGACTCGGGCTTTGGAGTGAAGCATTAGCACACTGAAAGAACCTGGTTTCAGTCATATAGTGTATTCATCAATTATAAATAAGTTAGTAATTGAAATTACGTGCTAAAGTAATAGTGAATAAGAACATAATGTCATTAAGTATATAGTAATTATTACACAATTAAGTATTATGCAAAATTTAGATGTAATTTGAAATTCTAACACATACTTTGTCTTTAACTCATCCGCTTCGATACAGGAAGGGTCGAATATTATTTTTGTGCAATTGATTGCGTTTTGCAATGAGATTATACCTGTGAAATAAATCATGCATTTCAAGGTTAATGAAAAAAGTAAAGACTAATGTTAAAAGTGTTAGAAAGAACAGGGATGTTCATACCTTTCCAGGTCTTTGCTTTGGCGAGTTGAACTATAACAACAAATTTTTTACAGACTGCAGAGGCTTCAAATTTGTTGAATTGATCAACATATTGTCCAAATAATGTACACTCCATCTTGCACCTTCACATTATTAATTACACAGATTAGATACACTAATATAGATTAGAATTTTATTATTTTTGAAATATGCATAAGTAAATTTTGCAATAAACAGTTTACCCATTTGATTCGAGTACAATGACCTTCAGTTTGCTTGGTTTACCATTCCTTTCATATGGTTTATCAGCACCATAATCAATGCACATTGCTATAACATCTGTTAGTATTTTAAACATTAGAGAGATAACTAAACATCAGGAATAAGAATGTTTGTAATTAAAATGAAGTCGCCTCACCTGCTAAATAATCTTGGTCGTAGTTAGTTGCAATCTCATGAAGTTGAACGAATGAAAAAGGAGATGCAGTGATCAATCCATGATCAAGTGAATGAACCCTTGTGCCATATTGGAAACTTAGTTTATATTCATGACGGGCTGCTCGAAAAGATCCACTGTTTGAAGCAAATCCAAAATTACTGATTGAATATACAGCTTCTTCTTTTAGTTCCTTCTGAAACCTGTAGATTAGGGTCTTCCTAATAGATGCTTGTATTTTATTCCCCTGCAATATTAATGAAGTTGTTGGGATGTAGAAATAGGGAGCACATATCAAGGTTGGATGAATTTATATTAGAACTTGTTCATATGCATAGGTACTAACCTGTTCATCCATAAGCAGCAATTCCATAGAAAGAGGTAGTCCTGATGGATTTTTAGTGTCATCCAGAAACCACATACGTAATATTTTGACAATAATTGTCCAGGTTTCCTTTGCAGGTGATAATGCAGTTAAGAGATCACACTTGGATGCCATGGCAGGGAGTGCTTTTGAAGATTTTGGCCTTGATTTGTTGATAGCTACGTACTTGTGAAGGGGCTGCGTTTAGGAAGTAATGGGAAGAGGGTTTTGTAATTGGGATGTTGGGATTTGTATAATATATATAATAGCTGCGTAATAAGAGTTGTAATAGGAGTGATAATAATGTACGTAATAAGATATTGGCCTGGGATATTGGGATTTGGAATGGTAAAATACTTACTCTACGTAATAAGAGTTCTAATAGGAGTAATAATAATAATAATAATGTACGTCATAAGAGTTCTAATAGGAGTAATAATAATATACGAAGTACGTAATAAGAGTTCTAATGGTAAAATACCTACTCTACGTGAATAATAATACACGTGATAGATCCAAATCTATTTATAGATCACCGAATGTTGGGATGATTAGTGAGAAGGTGCCATGTGTCAAAAACTTTCCCTAAATGTATCTTTGAAATGTATTATTTATAGATTATTGATAGGGTATTAAATTTAGAGAGAAGTGAGAGCTAGAGAGATTGTGAACAATTAATACTTTTAACCCCCCATAACTACCCCTAGGGGCCTACTTATAGGAGTAAATGTAGATTTGGGCTTTTAGCCTTGGCTTAGGAGGCCCATTACAACGATAAGGCCTCTATTGGACATAATAAGGCCACTAATGGGCTGTGTACATAATAAATTTGGCTAAGTATAAAAACTATTCTGCTAGTGCACTTCATAAAACTATTATGCTAGTGCACTTCATGCAATGGCCGACGGGGTACCCTCTGCTAGCCGATGCGATTCCCCCTGGCCGATGGGGTCCCCGGCCGATAAGGGACCCATTTTGTCACTAGACCTCCGTGCCGTATTCTGGAGAGTTTTGGTTCCGGCCGATGAAGCACCTTCTGGCCGATGGAGGACCCATAAGGCCAAAGGGATGTCACGTGGGTGTCCATCTTCAGTGTTTTGATCCTTTGAGTATGTGGGTCATGGGGTCTGATCCCACATACTCTATTAATTACATATTTATGACTAAAATAAAGATTGTTTACAAAAATGTGACTAGTAACTAGAGTAGTATTGGAATAATAGTAACTTATGTTCAAGTTTTAAACTTAAGTTACTATAACACTAAATTGTATTAATTATTAGTCATATTTGTGTAAATGAGTTTTAATTTAGTAATATTTTTGAAAAAATCCCTTATTTTAATTGGACTATAATTTTCTGGGGTCTTATACTCTAATCGCTTTTAGTCTAGTTCGGTTTGTTTAAATATGGCCTGACTTAATCTTGTACGATTTAGTCCTTTTTAAGTTTTATTATGTCTGTTTAAATCCAATCAAGCAAGATTTCATATGGTCTAGTCAGGTACGGAAACCAGTTTAATTGAAAGCATCATAAGTCCTGCATTTTAATTTTGGAAAAAGGGACGTTTATACCCCTACACTATTAGCATAAGAACACATATACCCTTATTTTATTTTGTGGAACAAAAAACTTACAAAACTTAAATTGGTGTACAAATCCACCCTCCCTAACGTTTTTAAACTTCTTCCCCGTCAAATACTAGTATAAAATTATTCCTTTGAGAAATGAATGCATCACGTCAAATTTTAAAACTTAATTCTTTCTTGACGTTTCCAAGCTTCTTTCTGCTTAACGTTTCTTTTCTTCAACAATTCGATTATATCAAATGGAGGTGGATAGGTGTATCTTTTAATATAATAATAATGCACATAATGGATTATATTCTTCCTGTTTGCACCTAATACAGTAATACTATTGAAGTATATATATAAATAGTACCACCAATTTAGTACTCGTATATAGAGAGTTTGTATTTCGTTTTTGTGTGAGCACATAATATTAGTGTATGAAACATATAGCAGAAATACAGTCTGAAAAGAAGAAAGAAAGAAAACCTAGAAAAACAAAGCTAAGGCCCAACCACCGTTAGATCTCCTTGGAATCTGTGCGCTGTTTTTCTGAGGTTTGACTCATGGCCGGGTTAATGGTTCACATCTACCATTTTTGTTTGCTTTCACTTCTCTTTTAGTCGGACGAAGAAGCCCTGAAGTAATGACGGCAATGTTAAAGACTTTTATGAACCGTTATGGAAGGATATTTTTAGACCAAATGTTTGCTTTTTTATGTTTTTTGTTCCAATTAATAGAATAAGGATATATATGTACTAATGTACCTACACTTATAAGTTCAAGGGTATATTTGTTCCATTTCCCTTTTAATTTTCATACTAAGTCTTGTTTCAAAATCTTTTATTATACATTTTGTGCAACAAACTTTGGAAGCTTTTTAAAAAGTTTAGGTTTATATTGTGAAGCTAGACTGAATATATAGATCCTCGGGAAAATTGTAGTTTTTAATACTAATTAAATATAAAAAAAATCTTATATCAAACATAACTATGGTGATGGTTGACAATTGACATGTCACTTAAGCTCAAAGTGGACAGATTTTTATTAAATCAAGTTAGTTGAAGTAGAAGTAACATTATTTGCATACATAATAAAATTTCAAGCAAGGAAGCGGTCCAGCCCAACTGATCGCCGACTCACTCTCTGATTTGAAACTCAATGAAGTGAGTTACTCAATGAAGTGAGTTTCAACCCTGATTATTCCAGGCCCCCTCATGCTACGCTCCCCCAGACACGCACTGGAGTAAAAAAGAAACATAATTAAATTTCAACTCAATTAGAATTTAGAAAAACCCTTACGCTTAATTAAACTGAAAATAATTGACCGAAGGAAAACGTTATATTCCCTAGTGTTGTAATCTGGTCGACTGTATAATTCTCTATGGAAGACAAAACTATTCGTGCGCACCGATTGTATCATCCCATTTTCTATGCAAGTTCTGTTAATTTTTACTCCGTATATTTTATTAGTGAGTTTCATCAAGTAACTATTATGAACTTTGCAATTATCTTGTTGTGGTAGATAATATTGGCCAGTAAGTTGGAATAATTACTTAAAATGAAGAAATAAATATTATTATTATTAAAGGTATATACTCTTAGTTAGGTAAAAAAAATCTTAAAAGAAAACATTAGAGATCCAAATCATTTAGCATGTTAACCAACCCCAGAGAAATAGTTTTTAAAATGATTACAAAAGCCCTAAAGAAATAAGTACTAGTATATGTATGTGCTCAATAAGATAGTAACGATCAAGTCAGGCCGGCCCGACAGCTCTCGCCGTCCGACCGAGCCTGTTTGAGTGTCCAGAAAATTTCACCTTAAATTTTAATCGTGAAGGCGCACATTTAAATTAATTATTTAAATATACGACACTTTATTTATATACATAAAGCTCAATACATTTCAATAATTTTTTTAACTGACTTCTTCATTAAATTCTAACCTGAAATTTGATGGAGATAATTATATACATGGCTAAGGGCCCCAAATGGCCTTAGCCAGATGGAGGATCCTATCAAGCGAGCCTGACAAGATCATTCATCTATATGTGTTTACTAGTTATCGTCACGCGCGTTGCGCGATTAAGTTAATGCCCAATATTATATGCATGTGTAATATGAACGTTTAGTAATCTTATTTTGTAATTATTTCAATAGGTCATGGTGATGATTAAAGTTATATTAATAGGGATCAAATGGTATGTATATATTAACTCTCTATAAGTGTGTGTTAGGGGTGGACACAATCTTGGTCCGATCTGATTCTGTTCTTGTACCGGCTAGTCCTAAAAAGTTTGGGAGGCATGGGACATTGGGACCTAGACCTATATTTGCGCCATCATCCCGATCTCAGTCCTAAAAATGAAATCAGTCTAATTAAAAACATCCTAAGAGTATAAATAAAATTAAGAATTTGTAAACACACAAAGATTTCCTAAATTGGATTAGGAATTTATTTCAAAAGTAATAGCATATTAAAATTGTAGTTGTAAAAATAAAGAAATGAAACAATCAAACATATTTACTTTTTGGCTAGGCTAAACGTATTTACTTGTGAACACACACACATACGCATGTATGATATCAACTTTCCCCCTTATTAAATAAATAAAGATAAGCTATTTCATTAGAAGTGTTCTGTTTATATGATTATTGTTGTAAGTCAAGACCAAAAGATATCCCTTTATTCACATATAGCATCTATATATATATATATATACACAAATGATCCTGTCCAGACGTCCGGACAGGAACCGCCGTCCGGCCGGCGGCGTTTGGCCGCCTTCCCGGTGGAATTTTTTGATGAAATTTTTATGGCATGTTCTACATCAAGTCTAGTTTATCCACAAAAAAATTCAGCCAAAAACTCAATCGGGAAGGTCGTCAAATGATTTTTGCAAGTTAACTGGTCCGGAATATGTATTTTCCGGACCAGTTAACTTGAAAAAATCATTTGACGACCTTCCCGATTGAGTTTTTGGCTGAATTTTTTTGTGGATAAACTAGACTTGATGGAGAACATGCCATAAAAATTTCATCAAAAAATTCCACCGGGAAGGCGGCCAAACGCCGCCGGCCGGACGGCAGTTCCTGTCCGGACGTCTGGACAGGATCAGGACTCTATATATATATATATATATATATATATATATATATATATATAAGGGGAGGGGAGTTAGGGTTACATTTCATATGGACCAATACATACGGGTTTGGAGTTTAATGGACATCCACTTAATTACATAACAACTCTATATTTGAATGTCTAATAGTATTAATTTCGTTTTTAATTTCAAAAATCTGGTGGTTATAATTTTCATCACTGTGTTAATAATTAGGAAAGTATTATATGAAGATGTAGAAAAATTATTAACACAGTTACAAAGTTGGGGTTTAAAATTTGGTGGTTATAATTTCCATCACAATATTATATGAAGATGTAGAAAAATATGGAGTATTAAAAGGATCTCAGCGTCTCACTCATGAAAACCGTTATGAACTCGATACTTGGCAAAAATCCCTCAAAAATTGACAAACCTCAAAGCCATGCCATGAAAACGATACGACGTCAACATAAAAACAGATGCAAGAGCATTTTTACTTAAAAAAAGTTATCATTGATGAAACTTTGTCGGTAGAAGAAGGGGCGCAACGGCCATTACATAGCAAGGGGCACTACGGCCCTAGTTTACCAAGAAAAATTAAAAGATACTAAGTTACGTTATCGGCCTGACCACCATCTTGACCTGCATCACCAACCCCCACTATCGGCTTCATCGTCAGCATCATC